TTCAATTGTGTTTCCGTTAAAAGCTTCAAGTCAGAGACTGCTTTTACTTGATTATTTCCAATTTGGGTTAACAATTCTTTCGCTACGCATAATAAGTCGTCAATGGTTTCCTCTTCAAATAATTCACCAGCGTAGTTTAAAATGAATGTCACGGATGCATTGTGCAATGTTTCATAGGCAGATACTGCCAACGGAAAATCAAAGTTTTGAAAGCTACGTTTTAGTTCGACCGCTGATAATTTATCTTTTCGGTCAGCGTTGCTCTCTAAAGTTGTATCATTTTCGTAAAGAAACAAACTATCGAAGGAAGTATGATTCATCTCTTGTTTTATTAGTTGAGTGGAATTAGCATTGCTCCCGTTTATCATTGCATTCATTTGATGTTGGATATTTTTGATTGCATCAATTATTAAGATATGTTCTTTGTGATTCGCAATAGATGGTAAGAAATGAATACTGGACACGGCTGTTCTAACAGTTGTCTGATCGCTGTGACCATAAACGCTCAATATTTTGTGCCAAACAAATTGCAAAATGGAACTTAAAGTTAGCCCATTTTCACGACATATATTTTTTAAATCTCTATAAACCTTGTCGGTGATCAATAGGGTGCTAGCTTTCGGCTGCTTCACGTGATCGTATTGATTGAGTAGCGCCTTATTTTTGTTCTCTTGTTTTAATAAACCGCTAAAGTCGCACCTTTCTTCGATCTTGTTTATTTCACTTTCCCAATAGTCAATGTTGTGTTGGGAATCCATTTGCATAAATATGCTGGAATAATAGAATGAACAATGTGTTTGTATAGGATTGTTGATCCCTTTTTGAAATTCGATCTGAAATAGGGGTGTTACATTTAAATTAAAAAAATTTATTAAATCGGGAAATAAATTTCCAAAAATTTAAATTTTAACTAAATTTAAATTCAAGAAATTTAAATTTAATCAAATTTTAAATTTTGTATGATTGAAATTAAATTGTTTGAAATTAAAATTAGTTAAATTCCGAAAACTAGCAGATAAACATAATTTTTGACTTGATTGCTACTATTTAAAGTCAAATTTGAGTATGTTTCCTGTTTTCTAACGTTAAAACTAGTCATTCTTCTATGAATTGTGTTATTAAATATATTTTTATGAGTATCCTAGTATTCTGAAGAAGAAAGATGACGGATCTTGCATAATCTGTAGAGAAATTTTGACTATTATGAATGAACAGTAACCTAAAATACTAGGTTTTCCTCTCATTTCGTATTTACTACTGTTAAAGTCATGTATTTCTCTCGTAGCAATAATGTGTATCCATGCAAACAATTTATGAAATTTAAAATTTAAATTTAAAAAAAATTATTAAATCGAGAAATAAATTTTCAGAAATTTAATTTAAATTTAATTTAAACCTTTTTATCAGAAAAATGTAAATTTATTTTAAATTTAACTTCGTAGAATTTGATTTAAAATTAAATAAACTTTTCACGAAGTTAAATTTAAATTAAATAAACTGTAAATTGACACCCCTAATCTGAAAGCCGTATCGAAGTATAAATGGTACACATTCACACTCACATCTGGTCCCCATACAGATTATGACAGGCATTCGTGAGACGCGTAACAAGTGACGACACACAAAATAACTAGTTATCTAAGTAATTTAGTGATGAGTTACTTATCCGTTCAATCAAAGTATTAATTAGTTCACTAGTTTGAAATCAACTTTTTGTTAGGCAGTCATGAATGATCCATCCTGGATCCTGGCAAATGGACTTCAGAGACTGGGGTGGATACGCTTCATATTTGGACTGGTACTTTCACTATCCTTTCGGCAATGAAAGTATACTGTTGCACTTTCCTTTCCTTAGAAAAGAAAAGCTTTTTGACTTCTCTTACTTTTCTTTATTTTCAGAAAGGAAAGAAAAGCCATAAGATGAGATGAGCGATAAGTTTTAACCGCAATATGCTTACCTGGGTTACGTGCGAATCCTACCTACTTTAATATTAATATCACATGCGTACAGCGTTAGATAAAACTATTCATTTTTAGATATGCTCCTATGAAAAGTAGTTGAGTATGTTACTAACGTCAGTTGTTCATCATTATTTATTTTTGTGAAAATAAATATCGTGAAATACAAATAAACGCTTGTTGCTCACCTGGGGTCTACCAGACCCCATATCATTTTTATAGTTTTGACTTATTTTTCAGCAATAATCCATTTGGTTTTATGTTCCACGACTTACTCCTTGTTTGGTTAAGAGCATTCCAGAAGTTTATAACGACATCTAGACAGAGTAAGTAATTTTAGAATGCGTGATGTGGAATAATGAATAATTTTGAAAACATTCTGTCACTCTCTCGAACATTAATTATATGACATAGATAGTGGAGTATCGTCATCAACAATACATCGTTTTGGAAAATTCGTAATTATTTTCTCACTACTCCCTATAATTCCAAATTTACCATCAACCATTGTGATTCGACGTAAGTATTTCTACAGAAGAAAATGCCTTCCGGCAAAAGAGTCTAATCAGAATCAATCAAAAGATCGGTATGAATGCACAGACAACTTCGATCAAGAATCAAATGGCAGTAATGATGAATTGGAGAATGATTCAGAAGAGTCGGACGTTCCTAATTATATTCAAGATAGCTCCGAAGATCCAGACGGTGACGCTGCAACTGAACAAGATTCTGGTGTTGAATCTGAAACGAGCGATGCCGTAACCGAAAGCACCAGTCAGACACTGGATACTGAGTAAAATACTTCGTACTTTTGTACTTTTACTTTCACAGTGTATTCAAGTACGAATACTGAGTACGAATTTACTTAAGTAGCGGTACTTAGTACAAATGTATTTGAATGCGTTGCTGATTGGTTATATTGATTTTTCAGTGGTGACTTGGGGCACAGACAGTGAATACTTAGTACAGTGCATAGTAATTTTGTACTTTTTTCTTAGAAAACTGTGAGTACAAAGTAGATATTATAAGTCTATGGCGATTATGTTTAGGTAACCGAAGTTATTACGAAACCGTTTTGAGGGTTAGCTGGGGATGGCGTAGTGGCTCTATGCATCTGAATTCAGAGATCAGAAGGTTCGATTCCTTCCCCAGCACGGTGGTGATGTCATTAGTATAATGGTGCACGGTATCGGTGGAGAAGGTGACCAATCACTTTAATATATATGTCGGTCTTAATGACCTTTACCATCTCTTTGTGTGATTCTTATATGTTCTCTTCTCTTCCTCTGTTTGTTATCGTCAACCTATACTTTGATTCTTCACTACTATTTTATCTTCTATACACAATTGTACTGACAGGACCACTAGGTCGTAGTTTCTCGCATAATAAAAAAAAAGTTTTGAGGGTTCCGTATTTATTTCGAAAATGGTTCAGTGCACTAGAAAAAAATTAGTATGATTACCAAATCCTTTTTAAAATGAATACGGACCCCTCAAAGGGTTTCATAAAAACGTCGATTTCCTGAAAATAATCGCCATAGACTTATAATACTTTTTCAAGTGTTTCTTGTTGTATCTACGAAAACTAAAATGGTTCAGAGAATTGAAACGAAATCGAAACCCTTTTAGGTTCCGTACTATGTAAGAAACCTTTTTTTTTAGTTCAACGAACTCTTTTGGGGTTGGTGTGGTACCATTTTTCTCCGTGATGGAGACACTCACACTTTTCCAGTAATGATATCTAGCATACTTCCTTCGAAATTTCATGTTCGGCTTTGAAAAATCCCTAAATCAAAAATCCCTATTTGGTCACCAGAATGGGTCATATTTGTTTTATTCTCCACAAGTGTGGATATGATGTATAGATGTGTCTGCGGATTTCTATTTGTGGTAAATGATAACCAACCCCCCCCCCTCAGAATCGACTTGCCACNCAGCCAAAACGCGTAACGGTCAACCAATATGATTAAAGTAGAAGTTAAAATTCAACAAATTTGAAGGCTACCAAATTGTAGAGCGCGCATTTCTGCATCGGACACTATCTTTTTTTCTATTTGTTGACACTTATTACACGGAAAAATATGGACGAAACAAAGTTGTGGATCAATTACTAATATTTCATGATTCATCATGCTGCAAGACAAATGAACACAGCGGGAGAAGGAAAGTGATGATCATCAAACATCTTATATAATTTTGAAGCACAGAATTTGGGCTTTCTTGTAGTCTACTTAAAAAATTTTCAAACTTTCTTTGCTATGAGAAAAATACTTTCGAAAAGCTATACCAAATCTATGTCTGTGCGTTACCGAAAATCGAGTTTAGTGAATTTTTTGGCGGTAAAACGACTGATTATTTTTCAAACTCTTATCAATCTTCTGCTTACTTTTGTTGGGCTATCCAATGCACATATTAATTTCTGGTTCCGTTGCTTTGGTATCGAGAAACTTGGTAACGCACAGACACAACTGTTTTGATACCTAAAATTAATGCATACATATATCGACTAAAATTTGTTTGTTTCAACTGAAATTTGAATTCTAAGATACTCTTGCATGGTTTTTGTTGCTGTTTGCTTTATTGGAAATGAAATACATGAGATACAAGCACCTAGGTTTTTGAAGAAATTTCTGAGAAATATCTGCAATAACTATGTTTTTTTTTAATTATAGAATTTTTCTCCATATAGTAAATTTATTGTACATCGATTCGTAAAATACTTGCTTAGCATGAAGCTCACTGCGGCTCAAAAACAGAAGCGTTACCGAGAAAATTTGAAGAGAAAAGGTCGTCATAACACTATGAAAGCAAAAAATCGTGAAAGAATGCAAAATTTTCGTAGTAAATTATCCGATTTTCAACGAGAACAGTATCGTAATCATGATGCAGCAGCTCGTAAACGTGCTCGTGCTGCTAGCAAGCATCAATCAAAGTATGTTTTTTTACGCATACTGATAACGGGTAGCATCTGCTCGCTTTATTTTGCTTAGTGCATCATTTGGCTCGAAGCAAAGCTTCGGTAAATCTGTCAAAAAAGTGAAAAAAAATCTCCCGCAAGATCCAGCAAAACAAAAGCTAGTCATTCAAGCAATTGCTCAGTCGATTGGGCTATTAGGACCATCTCTTCACAAACGTAACACCCGTCATTTATCATGTAAATTGAAGGATGATATTGTTAAATTTTATTGTCGAGATGACATATCTTATCAAATGCCGGGAAAAAGAGACACGATCGTTGTCAGGCAGAATGGAACAAAATCGACTCATCAAAAACGAATTTTACTATACAACATTCGCGAAGCACATCAATTGTTTTTATCGGAACGTTCTGGCTCTGGTACGATTTGCTGTCACAGAAAATAATTTTCACGATTAAATCTTGCTGCTTTCTAGCTTTAGACCTTTCTAAAACGAGTTTTGCTGAACTACGCCCACAATATGTAATGATCAAAGCATTGATGGGCCATCGTGTATGTGCGTGTGCATATCACGAGAATGTGAATCTGTTGTTAGAAGCTTTAGCAAAACATGTGAAGGGTGGATTTTGCTCGGATTTGCACACGTTTACAAGTTCTTTGGTGTGTGATGAGTCGAATGAAGCATGTATGTTCTCAAAGTGCAAGACATGTTCTAAATTTTTCGAGATAAAAGTTGAAGGAAATATTGTCGATTTCACGATAAAGATCCAATGGCTTCAATGGACCAATAATAATGGTCGCTCAGAGAAGGAAGAATCTGAAGGAACTGTGAAAAGTTGTGTTCAACATTTATCTAGTCTCATTCAGCAATATTTATCACATGTGTTTATCAAACGTGCTCAAAGTAGTCTCTTTGAAGAACTTAAAGAAAGTACGGATGATAAAAAAGTTCTTCTTCAAGTTGACTGTGCTGAAAATTTTGCAATGGATCAGCAAGACGCTATTCAGTCAGCATATTGGAATACCAGAATGTTGTCAATTTTTACAGCGCACGCATGGTGCGGAGCAAATAATTATTCGTTCGCATTAGTATCTGACAACGTTACTCACGATAAATGTTGTTTGGTTGTGTGTCTGAATAACATTATTACTAAACTGAAACAATATTTACCAGATTTGGAAGAGATTGTGTTCTTTAGCGACGGGGCAGCATCGCAATTTAAACAGCGATATCTGCTTCAAAACATGACACGAATGATGGTGGGACATACTTTGAAGTTATCGGGGAATTTTTCTGCCCCTTCCCATGGGAAGGGAGTGGTTGATGCGATTGGCGGAATGGTTAAACGAATGGTTTGGCAAGAAGTAATGGCAAAGAAACAGTATCGATCAGCTACCGATTTCGTTTGCATCGCCAAAACAAAAACAAACACGATTATTCTCGACGAAATCTCACAAACGGAAATAGATGTAGCAAAATTAAGACTTGAACAGATATTTATGGCGACAAAATCGGTCAAAGATACTCAAAAATTGCACAGTGTCATTGCTATTCGTTCTGATGTTATAGAATGTCGAATCTATGGTGATTCAACATCAAAATGGGCTGTTTTTTCTGATTTTTATTTATTAAAAGCAAAAAAATGTACCGTTTTTTGTCCGACAAGAATATGTATAAGCATTAGTGAAAAATAAAAAAATCAGCACTAGATGCTTGAAATAGAAAAGGAATATTAATAATTTGATGCTTTAAAGTTATATCTCTCAATATGAAATGAAATTTTTGATTTGGAGAATTTTTATGGAAATTCATGTCGATGCGTTACCGAAATGTCTGTGCGTTACTTCATGTTTTGTGAATAGCTCGCTCATTTTTCAAATTAATTATATTTTCTCTTCACTAAAAGATACTTCTGACTTTGAGCTACAAAATGCTCTGTCACAATGTTCATTAACATAGCGTAGTTCGCAGCATTTATCACTTCTCTCGCGTCCACTAAGAACGAAGGACTTTTTTTGTCTGTGTGTTACCAACTAGTATTTCGCCTATAAAATCTAAACAGCTCAACGATTGAGGCTCAAACTTTCAGGTATTATAGAACTTGTCGACTTACATAAGTGTTGAAATTTACAAACTTTTCCCTTTTACCATTATCTAGATACAATCGTTCAAAGTTGAAAAAACGTCCGTGCGTTACCTGCGTTTCGACTATTTTTGTAGCATCATGCATAGCTTGTTTCAAAGAAAAGTTGCACACAATTAATATCTTTTTACAACATATTCCCACTAGTCAAAAGTAGTCCCGGGATTCATTTATTTACCGATAAATCTTCGAAAGATATAGTATCTGTCCATCATACTGAAATGCGATTTTTTTCATTTGAAATGAATGAAATAAAAAGAAATGTATGGATAACAAACTAAAACTTGCTATCTACATGAAGCATAAATCATCAAGTTCATAACTGTGATCATTCAAAAACTTTAGTTTAGGCTACTCTTCCGTTAAAATTTCATGAGAAAAAGCGAGCGCACATAATAGGTTAAATTCCCTAAAATAATGATGTTGAATGTACAGATTTTATACATCAGTCTCCATCTTAAGCTTTTCTTAGTGGGATTATTTGCCGTTGATAAAAGAACTTCGAAATTTGGATGAACTCGTACTATTTATTCTTGGGGTGTGGGTGTGTCGAAAACTACTTTCACACCCACACCCTCTAGATAGGTTCTATAGGTATACAGACGGAGTTCATTCTTAGTTAAAAATCTATAACAAATTATCCTCAATATGCACATCGAGAGAGGTATCGTGTACTTAAAGTTGAAACATACCACAAGACTTACAAAACAAAACTCCTAATTAATTTCAAATTTCTATAGATATTATAATCCATTTTTAAAAGTCCAAGTAATTAAAAAAAAAAGGAATTCTTACCAGGATTTATTAGATTGATTCCAATAAGTCCCGAAACGAAAATAAATACCGGGATTTATTAAAAAGTCCCGATAAATCCCAAAAAAAGAAGCCCTGGAAACTGCTGAAATACACATGTACAAATGAATGTATTGCAATTACGTTCACCAGAAAGAACCCACAACAAATGCTTCTCTCCGTTGCCGACCTATTTTCTCCTATTTATTAATCACTCTTTCACAAGTATATCTATTTAAAAATCTGTCATTTACTGAAGCATAACGCATCCAAACACATGAAGTAACCGACACATACATAAAACCATCCGAACTACTATGCATCGATCAAAAACGCACTTGCTTTTCCCGCATGGCGTTCGACAGACGCTTCCAACCTTCCCTACCAATCGGATTCCGATCAAAGTACACCGTTGTAAGCGTCTAAAACAGAAAAATAAATATTTCTCTACGTTTAACGTGACGAATGCTACATGCAAACCTTATTTTCTCGAGTAGTATCAGCGATCTCTTTGGCGCCTTCATAACGAATGTCATTTCCAGAAAGATGGAGAGTGGTGAGTGTCTAATACAGTCAGAAAAATATTGTATAACGCTGAATGGTACAGGCATGTGATGTTCACCCTATTTTGTCGAAGAGCATCAGCAAGCTCTTTGGCGCCTCCATCAGTAATCTTGTTACCAGACAGATTCAGAGTAGTGAGTGTCTAATTCCGACAGGGCAATGTTATAGCACACTGCATATCAAGAGCATGTGGTCCTAACTGTATTTTCTCGAAGAGCGTTAGCCATCTCTTTTGTGCCTTCATCGCAAATCCTGTTACCAGAGAGATTTAGAGTGATGAGTGTCTGATTCCAACAGAAAAATGTTAGAGCACACTGATTATTAACGAGCATGCGAAGTTCACTCTATTTCGTCGAAGAGCGTGGGCCATCTCTTTGGTGCCTTCATCACTAATCCTGTTACAGGAAAGATTCAGAGTGGCGAGTGTCTAATTGAGGCATTAAAATCATCCCAAAATTGAATGTAACGGGTATTTTATGTTCACCTTATTTTCTTCAATAGCGTCAGCAAACTGTTTGGCACCTTCGTCACCAATCCTATTCGAAGGGAGATTAAGTGTAGTGAGAGTCTATGCGAGACACATAGCCTTTATTCACGCTGAATATAATGAGTGTATGACCGTTACTTGATTCTTTCGAATGGCACGAGCAATCTCTTTGGCGCCTTCATCACCAATTTTACTCCAGTCGAGTACGAGTGTAGTGAGTGTCTAAATTAGACAGGAAGTCGTTTCGTACATTAAATGCTACAAGGTTGATGTCGTCACCCTATTCTCTTCAAGTGCAACAGCGATATCTTTCGCGCCTTCGTCACAAATGTCATTTAAGCAGAGATCCAGTGCTGTAAGTGTCTAAATTACGCAGGAAATCTACATCCACCCCTAGATGTAATGCACATTCGATTTTCACCTTATTTTCCCGAAGTGCACTGATAATTTCTTTCACCCCTTCAGGACCAATACCAATCCCGTGCAAATTGAGTGTAGTGAGCACCTAAGCAAGAATCGAAATCTTCCCATACGCTAAGCCAAACGAACACGCTATGTTCACCTTATTTTCTCGAATAGAATGAGAAATCTCTTTGGCGCCTTTATTACCAATCGGATTCGAAGAAAGATCGAATGTAATGATTGTCTAAATGCCACAGAAAATTGTTCTCCACGCTGAATGTTATTAGCACAACGTGCTCACATTATTTTCTTGAATAGCGAAAATGAGTTCTTTGGCACCTTCATGGCTAATTTCATTCATAGAGAGATCAAGCGTACACAGTGTCTAAAATGAAGCAAGTCTTTTCCCACGTTGAATGTAACCAGTACATGATCTTTACTCTAGTTTTTCGAATGCTGTCAGCAATCTCTTTCGCGCCTTTATCACGAATCTTATTCCAATTGAGATTGAGTGTAGTAAGTGTCTAAATTAGACAAGAACCTTTTCTCCACACTGAATGTGACGAGTATCAATTGTTCACATTATTTCCTCGGATAGCATTAGCGATCTCTTTTGCGCCTACATCACCAATGTCATTTCCATACACATTAAGTTCAGTGAGTGTCTAAATGAGAGTGAAAATATTTCTCTACGCTGAACGTATCGAGCCCGTGATTTTCACATTATTTTGTTGAATAGCGTCAGCGAGTTCTTTTGCACCTTCGGGGCCAATCCCATTCCCATGAAGATCGAGGTTAGTGAGTGCCTAAGTGAGATACGAAACTTTTTTTCGATGGTGAATGTAATTACTGTTCGATATTTACCTTATTTTCTCGAAGTGCACCAGCGATCATTTTCGTACCTTCATCACTAAGTGCATTGTAAGAGAGATCGAGTGTAGTCAGTGTCTAAATTACAGAGAAAACCTTTCTGTACGCTGGATACAATGAGTAGGTGGTCTTCACCTTATTTTCTCGAATAGCATTGGCAATTTCTTTTGCGCCTTCAGGACCAACCCGATTTCCATGCAGATTGAGAGTAGTGAGAGCCTAAGTGAGACAAAAAGTCTCTCTCCACGCTGAATGTAATAAGCAAGAGATTTTTACCGTATTTTCTCGAATGGCGTCAGTGATCTCTGTGACGGCTGCTTTGCCAGTGTCACGGCAGAAGAGATCCAGTGTAGTGAGGTTCTACGTGAGACAAGAAATCTTTATCAGCACTGAATTTAAAGAGCATTCGCTGTTCACCTTATTTTCTCGAATAGCATCACGGATGTCTTGAGCGCCTTCGGGACTGATGTAATTGTAAGAGAGATCGAGTGTAGTAAGTGTCTAAATGAGACAACCCATTGTAGCTCATGCTGGATCTCAGGAACATATTATGCTTACCCTATTTTGTCGGAGAGCGTCAGCAATGTCTATGGCACCTTCATCACTAATCCTGTTTTCCCTAAGATCGAGACTAGTGAGCGTCTAATTGGGACAGAAAAATGTTATAACACGCTGGATGTCTTGAGAATGTCATGTTTACCCTATTTTTTCGAACTGCATTAGCGATGTCTTTGGCGCCGTCATCACTAATTTTACTCGAACAAAGTTTCAGTGTAGTGAGTGTCTAAGCGACAGAAGATATCTTACGCGATGTTGAATGAAACGACTATCTGACGTTTACCTTATTTTCTCGGATAGCGTCAGCAATCGATTTGGCACCTTGGTTACCAATCGGATTCTCAGAGAGATTGACTTTAGTGAGTGCCTAGGTGTGACAAGAAACCTTTTCGATGTTGAATTGAACGAGGCTGTCAAACTCACAGTATTTTCTCGAATGGCATTTGCTATTGTTTTTACTGCTTGATCATCAATCTCATTGTAAGCGACATTTAGTGTAGTGAGTATCTAAATGATAGACGAAGTGTTTACATACGTTGAATATTACGAGCATGAGATGTTCACATTATTTTCTCGAATCGCGTTGGCGATTTCTGGGGCGCCTACTTCCCCAATATAAGTCGCATTGAGATTGAGTGTAGTGAGTGTCTATATGATATATGATATATGTAGTGTTACTATACGTTGAATATTTCAAGCATGTAATCTTTACTTTATTTTTTCCAATAGCGCCACATATGTGTTTAGTACCTTCGCTACCAATTTTATTGTGAGAAAGATCGAGTGTTTTGAGTGTCTAATTAAGAAAACGTATCGCAGTGGACGATAAATATGACGGCGACTTGATATTCACCTCATTGCATCGAAGGGCGTCAGCAATAGCTTTAGCACCTTGATGGCTAATACTGTTGGAAGATAGATCGAGTGTAGTCAGCGTCTGAATGAGACAGAAAATCTTTCTCCACGCTAAGTGTAACGAACATGTGTTTTTCACCTTATTTTCTTGAAGTGCGCGAGCAATCTTTGTGGCGCCTTCATCATAAATGTAATTTCCAGAGAGATAAAGAGTGGTGAGTACCTAATTAGGACAAGAAAATGTTCTAGATTGCTGGACATTGCGAGTCTGTCAAATACACCTTATTTGTTCGAATGGCGTCAGCAAGGATTGTGGTGCCTTCATCACCAATATTATTTGCATATAGGCCAAGTTTAGTTAGTGTCTAAATTACACAAGAAGTTTTTCTCCACACTCATTGTAAAGTGCAAGCGATGTTCACCTTGTTTTCTCGAATAGCATCAGCGATGTGCTTGACTCCTGATGCACCAATGGAATTGATAGCAAGATCTAGCGTACTGAGAGTCTAAGTGAGATTGGGAATGTTTCGCCACACTGAATGTAACGAGTCTGTCATGTTTACCTGATTATGACGCATAGCGTCAGCGATGTATTTGGCGCCCTCATGGTTAATTTGATTGAAGCCAATATCGAGTGTATTGAGTGCCTAAATCATATAAAAAGTCTTTCTTTTCATTGAATTTTACTTTTATATGAGATCTTCACTGTATTTTCTCGAATAGCGTCTGCGATTTCTTTAACCCCTTCATCCGCAATCTTATTCTGACGGAGATTAAGCATAGTTAGTGTCTAAATGAGAGAGTAAGGCTTTCTGTACACTGCATATATTGTAATGTAGTGTTCACTTCATTTTGTCGAATGGCGTCTGCGATATGTTTAGCGTCTTCTGCACGAATACCATTGTCGGAAAGATGGAGACTCTTGAGTGTCTGTGGTCGACATGTGCTATGGTTTAGAAGAGCGTTTTGACGATTGGGTAGTGTACCTTGTGTTTTCGTAGAGGGTGGGCTATGAGTTTGAGTGAATTTGCGCCGATGTTGCATGAGCTTAGATTGAGTGTCAATAATGTCTATAGGAGAATTCGATTAATGGAAGTGATTCTATTCGACTATTGTACAATGTCACCTGTGTATAGCGTAGAAAAATTGATAATAGCTTGATGTCGTTTTTGGTTTGGTTTTGATGATTGAGATCGACTTCTGAAAGCGTCTGTGAAAATAAATTTTGATTTTAGTAAAGCGTTTTGATAAGATGTCAAGCGGTTCTTTGTGGACGCTTAGCAGGGTAAGTAATTTAACAAAAAGTAATTGGGGTTCCGAGTTGTGATATGTGGCAGTTCGGTTTAAAACATTTTTTTTAGAAATTCAATGATTGTCAACGAGGTTATACTTGGGAATCTTCCTTACCCATGGTTGTGATATTATTGTTGGAGTTAGATTTGTTGAGGTATGATTTGTCTCAGAATTTTCCTCAATCGCGATATCGGCACAGATCTAGATAAGAAGTGAATGTGTTTCATGAATGATTAAAGAGTGAATGATGTTTTACATACGAGCTTTGTTTGTAATAGTTTCGACATAATTTTGACTGCTTCATAGGTGAAGGGATTATTACTAAGGTCTAGTTTTTGAAGTGTCTTGATGCCGATTGGAGAAATATTAGAAAATATATTGCAGCAGGAGTAGGAAGAGTAGTGATACCGTATTTTCTGAGGTGAAGTTGATTAATTCAGCATTGACTTGAAGAAAGGTGATTTTATTGCTGGCCAAGTTAACTTCGATGAGTGTCTGTTTTAGCAAATCGTAAGTTTAATAAGAAGAGTAAAGAGACGATAAGAATAACCTTGTGAGTAGTTAATATTAATAAGAAACTGCAGAATCCTTTATCCTCGATTTGATTATGGGACAGATCAAGTGTGTCTATTGTCTATAGAAGAACATGGCTCCAAGTACGAATAAATATAAAGTAAAATATTCTTACTTCATTGAAACTCAAGTACTTAGCCAAATTATCTATTTCTGTATCCGTGATCATATTATTTGATAGATTGAGGTTTCTGATTATCTATATGGAAGATGAAAGATGAATGCAGAGGCCATTGTGATTGAGGCACTTGAAGTGATACCTTATTATTCTGTATAACACATGTGAGATAATTGATCCCACGAAGTCCGATTTGATTACTGGAAAAATTGAGTGTAGTTAGTGTCTACACGATAGAAATCAAACTTGAAAGAAAGTTACTGGATTCTAGCAAATTTACAGTATTAACTATTAAAGAAATAAAGAGATGTTTGAGGCCATCATCTCCAAATCCGTTGTTGCCGAGATCGAGTTCTTTAAGTGTCTGTATGAAAGATCTCTGGTGAGTTTTAAAGTCATGAAATGTTCAAACAGAGTTCACCATATTATGATTTATTGCTTGAGCTATCTCTCTCACACCATCCTGACCAGTTCCATTGTTGGATATATTGAGTATCTCTATTGTCTACGCAAAGTGATGAATGTGTATGTAAGAGAGTTGAAGAAAGAAGCTTACTTTATTCTCTTGCAACGCATGTGCTAGATATTTCGTTCCTTCGTCTCCTAGTTGACTATCAGTCAAAACTAAGCTTTTAATTACCTGTAGCAAAAAAAAATGCTAGAGATGAAAAAATACACATGTTGTAGATTTCACATTGTCTTTTCGTAAAATATCGGCTAAAACTTTCACTCCATCGCATCCTATTCGATTGCTTGAGATGTTAATTGTAGTAAGAGTCTGTAAGAAAAATTTACATTTTTAAAGAAAGAGGTCAACAATACTAGATGCACTTTAGAATGTTGGCAAGCTGTAAATAAAGCTTGGATTCCTTCAATTCCAATTCTGTTAAATGCAACTTCCAGTATCTGTAATGTCTGCAAGTAAACCCAACAAGTTAGTGTTGAACAATAATGGTAAGGTGACGGTTACTTTGTTGTGCTTTAAGGAATCAGCGAGATATTCGGCCCCTTTATTTTCAATACGGTTCCACGAGAGATCCAGCCGAGTAAGTTTCTGTTTGATAAAATGAAAGCATGAAAAAGAGGTACATAGAACAAAAACAAATAACCGTGTTAGTTCGCAAAGTCTCAGCTAGATTTTGAGCTCCTTCGTCTGTAATTTTATTTGATAGGAAGTCGACTATCTCAATCGTCTATTCCAAAAACAATGATGAGAACAAAAATGCAACAGGAACATGAATTTTACTGTATTGTATCGTAAAGCGATGGCCAAATATTTGACTCCATCATTTTCTAGTCGACTGTCTCTGAGTACGAGTGCAGTTAGTGCCTAAATGAAAGAGTGAAAAATGTCAGCGATCTATATGGCCATCAAAAGATATCTACTTTATAGTTTCGAAACGTATTAGCCAGAGATTCTGCTCCTTTATTGCCAATGGAATTGTTAGAAAGATTGATATACGTCAGTGTCTGCTTGTGAAAGAAATAACTATTACGATAAATAGGATATAAACAAAGGAATAGTGACTTCGCTGTGTCTAAGAGCATCAGCAATATATTTAATTCCATTGTCTTCGATATTATTCCAACTGAGGTCAATAATAGTGAGTGCCTATGTAAGATAGTGTAAATATAAATAAAAAATTCAAGCTAAGCATAAAATTCACTTTAGTATGCAGGAACGATCTAGCTAAGTCTCGAGCTCCTTGATTTCCAATTTGATTTTTGGAGAGATTCAGTTGTTTGAGTTTCTAGATCAGAAAAAAGTAAATAATAGTGGGATCGACGAAGAAAAATTTAGACTCACTGTATTTTGTTGTATTGCATCAGCAAGCAGCTGAGCGCCTTTGTCGCCAATATGGTTGTTGACAAGGTTGAGTTCTTCCTTGATCTGTGATCAAAATGGATAAAAGAAATATCAAAAAATGCTGTTATAGTACTTATATTGTCACTCAGTATCCATGTTCGAGACTTAACCACACATAGCTGTTAGTATGTGTTCTTAAATTATTCAACTTTCTCATACATATTTTCTTTGAATAGTGGTATTGCAACTGTGAAATGGGAGGCATGTTTCTATGCTTAGGTGCTTGTTTTCTTGAAAATTGGAGAAACATGAAAAGTTACGTCAGTTGCATCGATAATATAGTGTGAGATCATGCGAAATTTCGCTTGAATCGAGGACAAATTACATCATATTTAAAGTGTGCCAATAATGCATGGACATCCTTTATTGTTCACATATTTACGTTTCCATTTATTTGGAATGTCCTCTGATCCTGTAGTACAGAAAGGAGGCATACATTCTGGTGAGTGTTATGCAATATGCTATAGGCGTTGTATAACTCGTTACTCTCATCGATCTATCTGGTTTCTTTCTGAATGTTATCCATCTACTTTTATGTAACGTGACTATGTATGTCTCTAGAGAAATAACCTAAGTAATGCGCATATGCCTATTTTATCTTTTTCTATTGTTCTCTCTCTCTCGTGTGCACCTATATAAAGCGAGTACATTGTATTATACATCAAAACTGGAACAGAACTGAAAACAGTGGCGCAACCTGGGAAGGGCACGGTTGGGCTGAGCTCAACCACCGGCCATTTTAAAAAAATGATTTTTTTTATAACGTTAGACACAATAACACAAGTTTTGCATTCACTCCGGTCTCTTTTTCAGTTGATACTAAGTTAAATAGTCTATTTAGTACAGTTTTGTTCATTATTTTATCTCTCAGATGAAGATCAATATCGAACAAATCTTTATTATACCTTAATTGATTGCGTATTAATCGCATTGAATGATCGTTTTCTTTCGAAAACATGCACATCTTGAATGGGATATCAGCTCTTTGTCCCGACATCGACAATTTTTCGGAAAGTGAAATATTAAAACATTTTACATTACAAATGAAAATTGATTTCTCCTTATTATGCAATGAAATTCAAGTTCTCAGGAGGTGTTGAAAGATTCGTAATTAAGCAGTATTGTTGATCTCTATGCTGAATTATTGCCGCTGAAACAAGCATTTCCAACTGTTATATTTATTGTCGCTGCTGCTCTGACTATACCGGTTTCGTCTATCACCTGTAGGGCCTGTCAGGTAGGGCCCGGATCCAGAACCGACCCGGAACCGATCGGATCCGGGTCCGGTTTCGGGTTTCAGATTTTATTTTTCATCTGGCCCGAGTTTGGATCCAAAGAATCATTTTATAAGAATAATATAATTTTTCTAGTATACTTTTAGTTCTCGTTCATTTTATTCAAAAATTAATCGTAAACGAATTTCAAAAAAATAGAAAAAACAAAGAAATAAAACTTTATTATTGAATGCAAGATCTGACTTTGACAATGCAGATAGATTTTGATTTCGAAAAAGACTATTTAATCGGGTACGGGTCCGGGTCCAACTAAAATTTAATGGACCGGTTCCGGGGTGGGAAGGTACCTAGTAAATCGGGTTCGGGTCTGAAAATTTCGGATGCGGTGGCCTCTAACCACGTGCGAACGAACATTTAGTAAAATGAAGCTGATAAAAACCATCGCACGTAATACCATGTCGGATACTCGGTTGAGTGATTTGTGTTTTAGCGGTGGAACGTGATTTCAACATTAATTTCGAAAAACTTATGGATAATTTTTCCTAACTGCACAAAAACAGTAGAATTCTTTTAACGTAAAATCTTGTGATTATGTATTTTATTTTTAATAAACAAAGGAAGCATTACGTTAAAAAAAGTTTTCATGATGAATACATCATATCATCCTTGTTCTGAGAAAAAAATTATGAATCATCAAAAATAGCTTTTTGAAAAGACGTTAGGGCTCAGCCCAGTCACCCGCAAAATCCTGGTTACGCCACTAACTGGAAAGAAATAGAGCTGGAGTGGTGTACTATGGAGTAGTGTACTTAACATCATACATCTGTAACACTACTCGTCCAGTTTCTCTTTGTGATCACAAATAAAATAAATACTGCAGTCGTAACGAAAATATTATATCTCACTATCATCATTTTAAGTTCGTTACATAAAGCTCAAGAAAATTGATACAAGAGGATTGATGAAAGAATGAAAAGAAAGATATTTCCTTGTAATTCATAACTTCACTTTAAAAAGGTCTAAATATTTGTTTTAAAACTGTATCTGATAAATAATAATTACGTTCTTCTCACTATCACTATCGAACTAGAACAGACATGCAAGAATAATAGTATAAAGGCAATGAGGAAGTCAAATAAAAAACTGTCGTCTTACAACGATCGCTTTATTCCTTCTAGTATCAATAATACATGTGATTCTTATTTCTAACCCTTACGTGAGTAATTTTGATAAGTGCGCCATATTAATGTTCTTCTAGGTTTACTAAATTTCTAAAAACTTTCGTATGACTTTATTTTTCTAATCAATAAAAATATGATCGCTAGAAGAAGTTTTTCAATTTTACGGTAATTTCATAAAACCGTTTATTCTTTCAAATGAGGTTTTTTCTTCAAAGATCAACTTCGTAAACGTTTCTGATTTATACAAAGAAACTTTGAAACTTTTATAATCGCAGATTTCTATCAATATTTCGTTAAATAATTGTTTGACAAACTTTGAAACAGTCGATTGTATTTTAAGCTAACTTCCAATAGCTAGAACGAAGCTTTTGAAAAGCGTTGTTAGAGTTGAATTTAGGACAGTAAGAAGTTAAAGCAACATTTAAAAGAATGAATACTGCACCTGAATTGTTTCACTAAGTGATTTTTCAGAAGCATTGTTTGGTATTTGTTTGTCTGTATCATTGTTTTGTTTATTTGATCTGTAAATGAATATGAATCGATAATCGATGATGAAACAGAGGGCATATGGCTCTAATCAGATTTTGTCTGAAAAAAGCTGATGAAATTAACTTACATATTCTTCCACTCTTCTTCACAAAAAACATCTTGCCAATATGTTTCAGCAATAACTCTTTCACGATTTTTATCTATCTCATTCTGGTCATTTTGAAATTGTTTGCTTTTCCTTTTACAGCAAAGGTATTTCATAAATTTTATTAAATAGCCGAGAACGTTGAATGGAGGTGGTAAAACTAGTTTTTCCTTGTATTCAGCAACCAGCCAGAATCGCTGACATCGCCACAGTTCGTTTGACTTGTCCTGCACATTTTGGTACTTCTCGCTACAAAATTACAAGAAAGCATCATTCTTAGCATTTCTTCTTGCTCAACACATACTTGAACATAGCGATGAGTACATTCAATAGAAGTACATTTGACACCACTGTTAAGCTAATCGCGAATAAGAACACCAATGTACCATTAGTATCATTTTCTAAAGCAGAAAATTTATGAATGCATTTTGTTTCCCCAGTAGCAGTGAAAATCACTTCATTCTTACCACTAACGGCGTCATTATAGGGCTCAGCAACTTGTCCAAATACCTTCCAAATGCCCCAGTTGAATACATCTCGAAGTAATTGCCAATTCCAAACTGTATTACTTTCTTCAATCATTGCAGTAGCGTTTAAAAAAGATGCATTAGTCGTATTCGGCCAAATAACTTGTTCTTTAGTTTTTAAAAGAGACCAAGAAGAAACCGAAAACCCAAAAAGAATAATCACAATGAAGCAAGAAAATATCAAAAGGGCATCCTTTGTCTATCACAAAAAGCGATCAGTAATGTTTTATGTTATTTTTCTAAATGCGATATTCACCATTTTATAGATCATAGTTAATTTTGGTCCCAATGCTTCAAATGCAGTAAAGAGAGAGAGCATTCTAATGTACCAAATAGTAAGATCAATTGACATGAAAATTCTAGATGAAAAAAAACTACCATGCATGTCATCTTCTAGAAATTTATTCGTAAATTATTGAAGACAATAAATTCGACAACAACGAATAAAAGAATGAATGAAGTGCCAACTACAATTAATTACAAAAGCAACGGTTATGGGCTCAAAATAACACTAGCTAAAAGCTATTTGATCAGGACTCAACTAACATACTCGTTGTTCTTTAAACACCAGTCGTCTGTATTACAACACTTTTTGGGATACATTTACCTGAGAAATGGTTGTTTCGCAATTAAACAAAAAATGAGAAAAGAAGAGTGAAATGTCTAGTTAGAAACGTCATGAATACTCGTTGAATGTAGTCTAAAACATTCTACAAGCCTTATCCGTTTTGAAGTGTCATCTAATTCAGACTACTCGCCAGAACAGAAAAATAATTAAAATAACGAGGCGAAAAGTGTAGTCAGCCACTTGATCGGACATTGTTTAATATAGGATGAGTATCCCGACGATACTCCACAAGTTTGTGATAGGCTTATATCATATTAATCCGAGTTTCTCTAATACATGATTAAAAACCAGTCAAGAACGAAAGATATAACCAGTATCTATTGTCTCCAGCACTGTTCAAGACTAATAGTCTGTATAAAGATCAATCTGCTATTTGGAGCATTATAAAATCAACCCATTACGAGCAACGAAAGAATTGGCATGCAAATACTAAGAACTCATAGTAGTTAGGCTGAAGGATCTGGGTGTATATGTTTTATAGCAATTTCATTATTTTACGCAGTTTTGCACGCCAAAATTCAAAAGTAGACAGAAGCATAGAATACATGGATAATATAACGTATGACAATTTGTACGTATCTTGTGATGAGAAGTTCTAATAGTTCAAAATTTCCTCCGCGCAAAAAATGGATTAAATCGAATTCAATTAGAGAAAGTCTAATTGTTTTATTTCTCGTCTATTGGAAGAATATATTCTAACGACTTAAATTCAAGAAAATGTCTTTAAAAGACTCAGAATTTAGTTTTATTTTAAGTGTGTTTTTGTGGATATAATTATCCACTTCTAGATGATAATGATCCAAAGAAATTCCTCGACAACAATTTTTTTAAAATTTAATTTGCTTTTTTTCATCACTTCAACTAATTTAGAATAAATTAAAGTAAAATGCATTTTATAACAGCTTATTATGATTCTTGGTGCGTAGCTTAGATGATCTTTTGATTGTAGGGTTCATTTGTTTAAAACAGTAGTAAATAACACTTGAACTGTATGTTCGAATGTAATCAACATCAGACTACAACCGGCAGAATACTTAGTTGATGATATCCTATAAGTTTGACGTCTGGATTGGCTTATTGGACGTAAACTATGTTGTTTCATCCTGACAGGTTTTTCATCTCAGATAGTTCTCAATCAGAATTACATGCAAACGTTATGAATACAATTTCGTTTTGGGCTGAGATAAGTTTAGTCCTAGACTCGTCATTTTCCTTTAGAGAACTGGTCTTATTATGTTCTTAACACGTATCAACAACATAAGCGATCTAGTTTGCTTGAGGAATCAAGTTTCAAGCTTGCTATGATAGAATCAATTTTGAAACAAGGACTAACCACCACGGATAAAATATCTTAAAAGGAGACTGGATGCTGAATCCATCTCCTGCTTACTAGAATACAACCTTCAATAATAAATTAATCTTTTCAGAAACAATAAATATTCATAATTTCAGTTCTGCAATGAAACACATATCAAATTCGCTAACATAAATAAACGCAATTCATAGAATTTGAGAATTTCAATGTTATTCTAGTCACAAAATATGACGAAGAGCGTTTAATGATACTTTGTCAGTCTCACGACAATATTAACTCTCAAAGTCAGTTAGGTTAGCGTCTATTTTACGGAATATCGTCCATTTTTTAATCGGTACCAATAAATTTTCTTCCTAAGTCTCAATAATCGGGCTTTTCTAAACGAATATTTTTCGAAAAATTCCAAACTAAATGCCAACAAATTTCGAGTGCTGAGAAAGTTTAGAAGAATTAAATGCCTTACTTCGACCAGGTAAAGAACGATTTTTCAAAGAACCAGCGAGTGACAAAAGCTATCAAGTAAATACAAATGCCAGTTATATCCATCCGATTCCAGTGGTTTCTACCATAATTGTATTTCAATCTTCTATCGCAGATAAACTTTTAATGTATAGAAATATGACAAATAAGGAAAAATGATTAAAAAAACATAGGTCTTCATCATAAAGAAGACTAACCTGATAGATTTCATCAATAATTAAACCAAGGACACAAATGTGTAAGACTATTTCAGTGATAGGAATAAGTAAATTTTGAATACCGGATCGTTTTCCACCGTTGAGATTCAACGGAAAATAGTCGACAAGAAGAACGTAGCTGAATAAGGTCAGGAAGAAGAAAAAGAATATCTAAATACCAAGTATTACAAAAATGTTGATGTGGTTGATGGGCAGTCGTATAGTAAGCAAGAACTTACAAAATCGTAGTAAAAGCGGACTATTGGAGCATTGTAGAAGAATCGAATTCGATCAATATATTTTTTGAGTCCCTATAAAAGAATACAATAGTGAACAATAATTCACAAAATCCTTTTGATCTGAGCAGGCGTATACGATGACTGAAAGTTTCTATTTCAATTGCTCTATTTTTCAAGCTGGTCTACTATGAAAGTCAGATTTATACTTCATTGTTCGAATTCCCCCAACATTTGTATTGAAACTTGAACAAATGGCTACTGAGGGTTGATAGACAGTTGAGTTTCAGCATCATGAGCCTCTAACATATAAGTTCTATGAAAACTAAATGTTTTATTTTATGTTTCAGGATTCGATCTACAGTTTTTATAATTTTCATTTGCAGTTAACCAACGAAAAAAGCAACATAACAATTCACTGATGACCTTGACGTTAACCTGAATTTGGTCGAAAGTAAAAATGTCGAAAATAAAAATGTCGAAAACCTATGCATTATACATGAGACGCCCAGTTATAATTCGAATATCAATGAACATTCAACTGTATGGTATCAATTCGAAAATAATTGATGTAAGTTAGAAATAGATTTAATTTCTGTTTTAGTTTAAGATGCAGCGGGTGCGGATGCGGATGAATGGGTGTGTGGGAGGACGGGGTGGACAACTGTGAGTAAGGGGCTGTATAGGCGGACAACTGTGAGTAGGGGGGCTGTATAGGAGGGCAACTGTGAGTAAGGGGCTGTATAGGGAGACAACTGTGNAGACAGGGGCTGTATAGGGAGACAACTGTGAGTAAGGGACTGTGGAGGCAGAGATGTCGGTGGAAACTGTAGGTGAGATGGTGGGGTGTTGGCTTTTTCAGATATGTCTGCTTATAGGTGGTAGATTTGTGCAAGTTAAACTAAAAGTAAATCTATTTATAGTTTTATCTAGTAGTTTTACTTTTTCTTATCTCCATTTATATTCGAACTCGAATTAGACAGCTACTCTATTTTCGACATTTTTCAGGGGAGTCGACCTTGATGGTCGTCTATAATGAGTTAACCGTTACTTGTTGAGTTCTAATTTGTATTTTAGTACAAAATAGCCAACTTTGGTTGGAAAAAGCTCACACTATCAGTATGAGACAGATAAGTAACGGCTAAGTCATGATAAAAAATGATCTCTATTGTCAACTGATTTCAATATATGTCTCTTTGTCACGAAATTTGATTGAACACTGAGCTATTTTTAATTGAGATTTTTCTTAAAAGAATGTTACAGTTTGCATAGAAGCTAAATTAAGTGATTTAATAGGAGTTTATTTGAAATGCCAATTTATCATTGGATGCCATCGTTTTTTTTCAAAAAACGTATAATAATAAAACAGTCTATTCTTCACGACTAGTGTTGGCTACGAATAAGGTGTTTTAAAATGTTTATCATGACTGAACGGCTAGAGCCGTAAAGTTACTGTAAAGAGCCGAATATGAATACGTAAATGGGGAAATAACTCATATCCTTAACCACAACATTTTGTGAAACTCACATATTTTGAAAGAAAATGGTGAATATAAGTTTAAAAGCAAGATTTTTGCGGCTTCCCCCTCCCCATTACAGACATTAATTAGTTTAAAATTGTTCTAATTAGCAATTAGACTAATTAGGTTACCACCCTCAAAGACACCCCCTCAGAGATCCACCTTCGATGATTATAAAAATCGAAAAAAATCCAAAGACATCAAAATGCACCGTTGAAAACAATTTGAAATTTTCTTAGCAACCTTGGCTTCTCTTAATGAGGAAATCGAATTTTCTTCGTAATAAAATTTTACTATTTCATTTCAATTTATTCAAACTGCTAAACATGTTTCATTACATAAGACAATGTACTAAATTATCTACTAGCAGTTACAGTATATGTGAGTTCCACATTTTAGCCGCACAGGGGCTGTGCTAACAAGCTTTTTTGGAATAATAATGGAATGCTGCTCAAACAGAAGAAAATAATTGTGCTCATTTTGATTTTATTATGCTCTACTTTGGATTGTGATTATAAGTATTTTTTTCTGAATTTGAAGCTCAACTGTCATCTCACCGAAAAGTAAATATAAAAATTATAATGGCGAACAAGAAAATCAAGCCTCTTTAACTTTTGTATTAAATTGCAATCAAAATGAGTCTATTACTGGTTCCTTCGAAGTTTCATATAGAGATTATAAAACACTGCTTGAATTTTTACATGATTATGTTACAGTAATTGGTGGATCAACTTTGTATGATCTCCTGCTTGCAAAAACTCACCACATGGTTTGTTCTTCCATAAGATGGTAATGAAAGAAATTTTTAGTTTCATACAAAAGTATCTGATTGTACAAACAAGAATGCATATTATCCAGTGTATCTTATATAGAGAAAGACTACAAATTCCGATTGTACGCACTAGATCGCCCTTTGATGAATCTAGAGCCCAAACGCTAATGAAATCTATACATCAAGATGCATAAATTCAACATGAGAGCTTCAGTCACGATCATGACCTGAGAGTCTCAAAATGAGCCTATGCTCATTATATACCTTTTTCGAGCTGTCAGATTCCTTCTTATAAAGAGGAAGGATTGATGCGATGGGTAGGAACGGCAAAACCAGAGATGCAAGAAAAATCTAAACAGTATATCAAATTCATATATTCATAGTCTATAAATATTACTGAAAGTTTTGACAAACCCAAATAGAGATTGAAATCTGCATCAGTCGCAATTGATGATCGAACTCATGATACCATTCATTATCAAGCCATTTTTGTACTGTATGACTAGCAAGAAAGGCTTCACATTTCGAACGATGCGCTACATTATTTGGGGAGCACTTGAAGAAGGTGTCGGCTCGCTGGTTAAACACATTGAGAGCGAAATTGTGATCTTTAATGTAGCATTTGTCTATAATGTCTCTCGAATGTTGATCGAACTTTCTGTTTTTATTAATAGATCAATAAAATGTAGGTAACCCTGTACATCAAATATACAGCAATATTATCAGCTTACTTTGCAACGGCTTTTAGGTTTTGTTTTCGGTTTCGGTTTTTATTTTTGCTTGCTGCTTCAAAATAAACATCGCCTGCAAGAAGAGTGGCCACCGCCTGATTCTAATAGTCCACACATACCATAGCGAGCATGGTGAAGAGAAAGGCAAATGAAAAATTTGGTATTTATCTTACTTGACTTCGAGAACATAAGTATTTGGCCATATCTGGTTGATTCATGAATACAAACCAAAGAAAGAGCGCTTCGGTTTTGTGTTTCGTGAATAAATCATCAATACCACTAACCCATTCTTTACTTTCTATTGGATTCCAAAATTCAGGCTTGAGTTCTTTCTAAATTCAACAATCACGATGAATTAATATATCCAACTGTCAATAAAAGGATTTTGACAAAAGCTATATAGTTTTGTTAAGGGGGAAACGGCGGATTGCGGATTTTTGGATTTTTTCGGATTTTTCATGGATTGGCAATCCCGAAAATCCGCCGCTTCCCCCTTGAGTTTTGTAGTAAAGTATCTTAACGGAACCATGTTCAAGAGCATTCATAAACTTTTACAAAAACATAACGATGAACGAGCAAGAATTTCTGTTTTTTTCTTCTGAAGACGTCATTGACAGCTTTTGACTTGCGTTTTCATTATCAATTAACACTTTTTTCAGTAAAGCACGAAAATATTCTTACGCGCTGAAAACCGTATGCAACGAGATCAGTTCTTAAATGGTTAAGTGTGTCGTAGAAGAGCTCTGAAAGAATCTTCGCAGTAGGTTTTTCACGAACAATTTTCCTCCACAAGATATAATTATTCTGCTGAAAAACGTTTTTTTAATCACCTTAATTTTGGATATCTTGTTATTTATCCATAGATACTTTCAGTTTAAAAATACTTTTGATGCATCTTTTTCTTTTCGCAGATTCAAATCGCAACTATTTCCACATTTCAGTGGAAAGTATTTGACTTGAAAGCTTTAAATAGTTTTTATCAAAATCTTTCTATCAACATCTAGGAGTAATCTTCCTCTCCAACAGTATTGAATACTCACGTATTTAGTGAAATATTGTTGCAGATAATTACTATACATTTCTTTTATATATTTTTCAATGAGCGTTCCTTTTCTTGGAATTCGATCAACTGGGAGACGGTTATCATTCTTTGAAAACAACATGAATTGAATAACAACTGGTGCATTAAATAAGTTTCAAAGTATGCTTTACGTTAATTTTCGCACAAATAACTATCAACTGTTTCTTTGTTAGGTCTTCTATTGATGCACCGTGTTCTAGAAGTGAGTCGACGAAAAGCACATTATTTCGATATAAAGCTTCGAACAGTTGTTGTTGTACTAGTGAAATGTCCTGGAAAAAAAAATTTCGTGTGTTTTAGTCTGTGTTTGCATGCTTTTGAATAAATATTTCAATATTCCTGTACAACAAAGTATGTTTTGTGGAACTCACATATATTTTCGAAGAAAATGGTGAGTGTAAGTTTAAAAGCGAGACTTTTGCTGCTCTCCACCCCCCTCCCCATTACAGACATTAATTAGTTTAAAATTGTACTAATTAGCAATTAGACTAATTAGGTTGCCATTAGGGCATTAATGAGTTTAAACCTGTGCTAATTAGCGATTAGACTAATTAAGTTGCCATTTCCTTCTTTACAGATACTAAGAATCAAGGAGAGGCTACCATTGCAGACACTAGCAACGTAGGGGGATACCATTACATACATAAGGTAATAGGTTATTCCATTACTATAAATTTTAAACAATATAATAGATTTTTGAATTGAGCTCTTTTGTGTTGGCATACGAACTCTAAGGGGTATATGTGAGTTCCACATTTTTGCCCCAAAGGGGTGCGCTAACAAGATTTTCAGTGAAAATAGAAATATATGAGCTAAGCTCTTTTCTTCGAACTTCTTTCATTTGTGAAAGCTCTTTCATGTAATGGTAACATTTTTATGTTCGAACAAGAGTTCTTGCATTGTACAGTATGTTGGCTTAAAAAGTTAATAAACTAAGCACACCACGTAGCATTCTTTTAAGCTACCTTTTTGTTGCAAATACTGCCCAGTTACATAACTTTTACAATATCTATAAAACTGGTAAATCTGGCATTCAGTGATGTAAAAGTGTGCTCCATTGGAAAGTTATAAGCTTTTTCTAATTCACAAATCTATCAATAATTCAGTAGAGATTTTCTCTAAATTCTCATGGATTTTGTTTCTGTAATCAGCCTGATAAAATTCAATTACTTTATTGCAATTCCTCGAACAATTTTGCTTTTTATATTAGTTGAAGTATGTTGTCAATACTCAGGTGTTGTCTATATCTCTCCGCTATTGTGAATTTAGTTTCCAACTGGTTTTTATCAAACTCTTTACTCCACTTACGTCCGTTTCTTCTAAGTTCACATTACTGATTGGTTTACCATTGTTTGATGACATTTCAATCTTGTACTTACGATCGGCTAATAGTTTACGAGCGTAATCTTCTTTATTCCAAATCTGAAACAGTCGGAAGATGCCATAGTGAAATTATTAGATTGAGCGTGAACGAAAACCTTACCAAACACCATGCCAGTTTTGCTGCTCTAGTGTCCGGACGAAAGAATTGCTCCCATTTGTTTATTTTATACTTAATACCCTTCAGCATCGCATTGGCTATAGCTTCTTGCAGATGTTCACCGTGCTCGATAGCATCAAATACCACAATGATGGATTGCATGTCGATTAGCACACGTATGAGTTCATCGGCTGAGTCTTCATTATACGGGCTTAGTTCTTTCAGCTCTTCATGGCATTCTTGAAAAGCTGCTTTTTTTCGAAACTGTACTAGCTCATCTTGTAGGGATAGCTTCCAACAAAGTTTAGCCATTATATCAGCGAGGCCACCCGTATCCTATAAGAAAATATAAATAAATGTAAGTGATTTAAAATTTCCTGTGAAAGAGAGGAATGCAAAAGGGCTTTTTTTTTGATCCCGCTGGTTTTTTTGCGTTGTAGGCTTTTGCACTTAAAATTTTATGACAAAATGCTAGCTACAATATAGAGATATTGAGGCATTTTCCGAACAATACGATTCTTCACAAAATGCCATTGTTGTTCCTTGATACGTAATAGAAGAATAACGTCGGATTCGTCTATGTTCCAAACGTTCAGCGTTGAGTAGAAGACCATCTAGTTCAATCAATCTGTTTTCCTTTTTTCTAGAGATGCCGCCAGTATTTTCAATTTTATCGTTAAAACTCTAAACCGTGCAAGTATATATATGATTTAATTTCATAGAATGCGTGAAATCCTTTTGTTGCTTATATGGACTACACTCTCAATATCTTGAGAAGAAGAAGATTACTACTGTTTATTTTTTTATTGCAAGTCCAAACAGCCCAAACTACAGAAGCATATGAAAGAGCAAGTAAAGTTTCCACTAATCTGAATCTTTATCATAATATATCTTGATATTTAGTAATTCAGCATTCTGTGAAAATACCTCATCAAGAGTGCGAGCCACCAATGTTATCTTACCTAGACTGCTTAAGAGAGCCTCCGTGAGCCCACCGAGCATTTTCCCTAGGAACATAACATGGTCAAATTTCAAATCCAACTCTAACTATGTTTATTCGATAGCTCATATTGAGAAACCTACACAGTAAAACTTTTAGACGGAAAATTTTTTTTTGC